TAGTGTTTGGTAAGCGTTTTTTAAAATCAACTTGGGCTAAAGGATTTTTGCTAATATTTAAAAAAAAAAAAAAAGCTCCAGTGGAGCTTAACCACCGGCCATTGCCGCTGGCCAGATCTGGTCACCAGCCACCGCCGCCTGAGGGCTAGCCCGACCCGGTGACCGCCGCTTGGGGTCGCGCGACCCCGCCGACTGCCGCCTGGGGTCGCCGGACCTCGGGCGTCGCCTGGGTCGCGCGACCCCGGTGACACCCGAGGTCCGGCGACCCCAGGCAGCGGTTGCCGGGGTTGCGCGACCCCCAGGCGGTGGTCGCCGGGTCGGGCTAGCCCTCAGGCAGCGGTCGCCGGCCGCCGGACCTGCCCCTGGGGAAGATGAACAGTCGCGATGAACAGTGCAAGTTGCATTCCGAAAATGCAACTTCTCAAAGCACCTCCACCCTTGCATTGGCCAAAAGTCCCTTGGAGAGCATTCCAAATGCAATTGCATCTCCCCAAAGTGAGTAAAAAAAGTTGCCAAACACCATTTGCATTTGGCCAAGGGACTTTAGAGCCCAAATGAGCATTCCAAATGCTGAACCAAACGGGGCCTTAATCCCTGTTAATAGTGTGTGAAACATTTCATGTTGCCTCAAGGATCGGGATGCTAAGGTGCCTTAAGTTCCTAAGACATTTTTAAGTTTTCAGTTTTACTTAAGTAATAATGATTAGTCGGTAATGATTTGAATATTGGCATAAGTGGGTTTCATGAGAGTGTTGTGCCTTTTTTTCATCATGTTTATTGATTATATGGAATAATGATCATGTTATATATTGATGTTATGTTTTTTAATCCTCAACATGACTGTCATTCGCCTTTGTGTTTGACTCTGTTTAGCTTAACTTGCCATTCAGTAGATGCAATTTGTGTTTTTAATCTGTTACTCCCTATGTTGCCGTTGTCTTTCAGTGCACATTGAAGGATATTGGAGATCTCGAAGACCTAATTGGATGCAAGATAAAAGTTTGGTGGCCAATGGATAAGCGGTGAGTGACTAATTATCTGATTATGTGCTGGTAACTTTTGAAGTCAATACAATGGTGTCTGGAATTAGGATATAGGCTGTTCGAATTTCCAGTCAGTTGCTTTTGATGATGCCAAATTCTGAAAGTGTAGTTATGGTCTTTCTTTAAATAAACATTGTTCGGTTTTTGTTTTTCAGATAGGGGCAAATGGCATGATCTTTGTTATCCCTTAATCTACCTTTTTCTCTTAAATTATTTTCGTTTTACCTCTTCGTTTGCATGTCAGTTCTGTTGTAACTCACCTTTCATCCAGCTCTTTGCTGAGCCTTCCCTTTTCCTACTGAATCGTGCCATTCTTACGTGATATATGCTGTTGTTCAAACAGGTTCTATCAAGGTACAATCAAGTCATATGACACTGAAAAAAAGAAGCACGTTGTGAGTGAAAAATACCTTTCCTCAACCTTTTATATTTAATTATCAGGACAGTCTTAAGTTTTAGTTTCATTGTGCACTCTTTTTGTAATATTATTCAAAACTGCTGGATGTTTCATGATAAGGTTCTTTATGAGGATGGAGATGTTGAAATACTCAACTTGGAAAAGGAGCGATGGGAACTCATGGACAAGGGGCGTAAATCTGCAAAGGTCAGGGTATCACATTTCTAATTATCTTACTGTGCTTTACCTATGCATACATTGTTTTCTCTACAAACCAGTTTAGTTTTAACTCTTTCTCTGAATCTCTCTAACAGAAGTTAAAATCATCGAAGGGCTCTTCTGCGAAGAAAGTGTAAGCATCTATCTCCACTTGCATAAAAATTTGTCATCTTATCCTTTCTGCCACCATTTGTATTAGAAGTTTGCCTTGTCCTGTCTTCCTGGAAGTCTCTTTCATAAAAATATTATGTATCTGGACTTAAACAAGTGCAAGTAAACTGTTGGAAGCCTTCTTTTCATTTTTGCCATGTGCTGCCAATGTGATCCCTTGTATTCTTTGCAGTTCATCTAGTCAGAAAGAAAAGGTTACAAGCAGTTCTAAGAAGATTAAAGAAATGGTGAAGATGTAAGTGGATTTACTCGAGAATGTTAAGCAATCAAATGTCTCTTTCTTTAAGATTTAAATAAAAGATTCTTGATTTGTAGAGTGAAAGGAAAAAGAACTCCAAAGAAAAAGCCTAACCCTCGAAGTACATCAGAAACTGCCTTTGGTGATGCTGAGGGAAAGGGGGTCTCAGATCTATCAGATGCTGATCCCACAACTTCTAAAGATTATGTCGAATCAGGTGAAATAGTGTCATCTTTTTGATGCAATACAGTGTGTGGGAAATATTCTAGTTCTCCTTTGTGCCATCTGTCAATGTACTTTCTCTTGCATGCATATTTGCTGTGGGAGCTCAATGTGATCCGTTTGAGAGCTGTTACTTAGTTATATCCCCGTGGTTCAAAGAGTACCCTCAACACTCTGCGACGTATTATACATACAATTGTCTAACAAGATGAATATGTCACTTCTAAAGCAAAAAATATTCTCTTTGTATTAGATGGATTTGTTGTCTATGGATTTAAAAGATTATTGATTTTCTTCTGAGAGTGGACTGCAGTGACAATCTATTGCAACATTCGTTATAGTTAAATATAATTGGGGTGTACTACTTCTGTTCAATGAGTTGATGCTCAGAGGAGATTCATGTTGCAGACTCCACCTAGTGCAGTAAACTATTAGTTTGGTTAAGTAGATCTGGATAAGAGATTAGAATTAGCTATTCAACTATATATTTGAACATAAAGAATTATGTATGGTATTCTAGGTAACTCGGAAGATCCAGATGCCGAAGATGTTGATGGGAAACAAATACAGAGGGATGAATCTGACACAGAGATGCGTTCATTTTCTAAACGGAAATGGGTCAAAGACATGGAGGGTAGCCACAGTAGTGCAGATGCTCGTGATGAAGAGGAGGAACGTAGCGATATGGACAGTCTCCGAGCAGAAGATCAGGAATCTGATGAAGAAGAGGGTCCTCCAGCTAAGCGAGTCCCTAAAGGGAAGGAATTGGAAACGAAGACTGCTGGCAGCAAATCTAAAAGCAAAAAAAAATCGGGCAGTAAATCCTCAAAAGCATCAATGGTTGCACAGATGGAAATTCCCGATGATGAGCCTCTTGTACTTTCTTAGCTTTGCTGCTCATTTTAGATTTCCATGAGACCTTGGTCATCTGTTTTGGCTTCTAATTCGATATTCCGATGCATTGCAGAAACTGTGGAAGAGTCGAGTAGGGAAATCAAGCTCGAGGAGAGTAGGCTGATTCAGTTTTTTTGCTTCATCTAGTCTTTTGTAGAATTTTATGCAGTTGTAGATGTTGAAATCATAAAGCCTCTATTGGAACTAGTACAACCAACAAAGGGGAGGGAATGGATTCCAACTCTGTCGGCAAGCTTTGATAGACCGGAGCACCTGTAGAATATCACTTGCTGACGTTGCCACGTTAACAGATGATCATACAACTGATGCTCTATACTCGTAGCGATAGGATGTTACCAATGATTCATGTGTTTGTGGAAGAAGCTGTCTTAGCAGTTAGGCATTGTTCAGATGCTAGTCTCTTGTACAGAAGATGTTTACGATAGTGAATTTGTTGTTTGAATGGCTACAGCGCGCCAGTTACTATTGGTCACCGACGCTGGTTAGGTCTCCTGTCTACTATTCTTCTTTAGTTCATATGGTGTACTTTTGAATTTGTTGTACATGATAAGCATACGTTAGAGGAACTTTTTCAATGATACTGAGCTCGTTTTCGAAAGTGTAGCTTTCTTGAGGTTTGCTTCCAGTGGCCTGTTTTACATAGATTTGATGGGAGGAAAAGGGAAATAAAAATAAATGAATGATATGTTTTCTTAGATGTTTCTTGGAGAGAACCGAGTAATTTATAGAAATTGTATATTTTATATGTCGTCGCAAATAATTAATCTCTGAACTTTATTTGGCTGTTCTTTTATATAATCAGTGTTTATATTCTTTTTCCTTATATATGTCAAAGTCAAAAAGAGAATAAATCTTAATGAAGCAAGGGTAGTACGTTCAGTGAAGCAAGTGTTTGAAGCAGGGTTGAATGTGTTGGACCATTGCAACAGCTTGGCAGCAAGAAACTATGCAAGTCCTTATTATTCACCAAAAGTACAGATGGGTACCAAACTAGGATATTTCCCATGATTTTTCATGTATCTCAAGATTGTGCATATTTTTTGATTGGCTATATATATGTGTGACCGATTATAATCACTCGGTAAAGTTTACAAAAAAGGGGGAAAAATACTAAAAAAAATCATAAACCTATTGCATCGATGCTAATTCAGTCTTAAACTTTTCAATTGGGCAAATTTAGTCCTAAATCTTTTTATATTTGTGTCAATTGAGTCTATCTAGCCAATTTATGCCATAAATCGCTGACGTGGAAGCTAGTTGTTTTACACGACACGGCTGGTGCTGGTGTGAAAGTTTTTAGCAATTTTTTCTTTTTTTAATTCTTTTTCCTTTTTGTTTTTTTGTTTTTTTCCTCTGTGGTCAGTAAGGGTCACTAGAGCTCACCGGTCACTGGGTGAGGGCCGTGAAGCCCTTGCCAACCGTTGGTGAGGGTCCCGGCCCTTGCTTGGCCTCGCCTAGATCCGAGGGCGGGCGTGGCCGCCTCATTCAGATTTGGGCGAAATAGTAAAATGGGATTTGTTTAACTTGATGCATAATATCTCATGACATTATTAAATTGTAGACTGTCTTTTTAGTCTGTGATGACCTAACTTATTCAAAGTATGGACTTTTGACTGGAATGGGGACCCCATTAAAAAAGTTTTAGGACTCCAAACGTTGACTGGAATTTATGTTTGCCAGCTTTGACCGACAAAACGTCTCCTGGTCATGCATGCGGGTCAGCGTCCACAGTTCATCCATAAAACATGATGGCCTAAATGAAAAAGATTGCAAACAAGAAAAAGAGAAGAGAAAGAAGATGATGGTTGATAAAAAACAAGAAAGAGGAGAGAGAAACATGCAGGAACTGTTGAGCTAAGCATCATCAGGCAGAGCATAGCAATAGAGGCAAATCTCTTAATCCTATTGCTTAGTTTGCACAACATTTACCTTTCCCAAGGGGAGGGTGTTCATGAGTTTGTCTGATGCTTTCATTACAAAACAACAAAAAGGGTTTTGTCTGATGGGATGCTTGCTCCTTAGTGCTCACCCCACGGTTCTGTTCCTTTTTGTTTCTGAATTGTTCACGTCTTTTTGTTTTCTCTCTGTCTGCGTGTGCCTCTTTTCACTATGAAATAGACATCTTTTATTTTTCGGGTGTCAGTATATTAAAAGCATGGATATGCTCTTTGGGTAGTTCCAGCGCTGTTTTCTTGACCCAAAATTGTCCTGTTGAAGCTCTGCTTGTCTTCCTTCTTCGTCCACACCACAAGAAGGTAAGTTCTCTCTCTAATGTGAAGCAAATTTTATTTTGTCAGCTTCATTCAGCACGAAGGTTTTCTGTGACAAGGTCCAAAAAGAAATCTGGGTGTCAAATATTCCCTTTCCTTTTTTATTTTTTGAATCAATTGAAGTTCATTTAAGAACATCTTATGGTCCTTTCTTTTCGTGGTTCTTGTTTGTATCCTCCGAGCTTGTGTTGATGGCTCTGTGTGCTGAGTGGCTTTCTTGTTTCTTCAGCTGGAAATGGGGGAACACTTGGGCCAGCTCAAGGTGACGGTGGTGCAAGGGAAAAGATTGGTGATCCGGGATTTCAAGAGCAGTGACCCGTATGTTGTTGTCAAATTAGGCAGTCAGGTAAGTTGTGCTTTCTTGGTGACTGCTCGGCTGTTCATGTGGAGTTTCCTTTTTCGGTGTTCTTACAGTGCAGAAAAAGAGATGGAAGGGTGACCATCATATGGCTTTTGTTGTGTTTATTTCGGTAATTCGTGTCATTGCTCAAATAGCTTAATTTATTTTTCTATACAGTAAGAATTGGATTTTGTGGAGACAGATTAAAACTTGCCAACAAGTTAATCGTGTTTGTGTCGTGTCAAAGTCGAGTTTCTCTCGATAACTTCTCTCGTAGTGGCTTTATGTTCAAGCCATGTTCACTGTTCAGGTATTTTGCCAGAAATTGCCACTCCTACTAGTAGACGAATTTTACCTTTTATTTCGTGTGCATATATCCGCACACACTTGTGTCTTTAGGGTGGGAGGCTGGGTTGAGGTCTGTTCTTGAGATGATGAAAATTGGGGCCTCTATTGCTATTTGAGTTTGAACTTATGTAGGATAGATAGTGTTTCTCACTTGATATCAAGTTTATCACTCATCAAGCACGCACACATTTTGTTTAAGCTCTACTGTATGTTGGTCGAAGCAGCTTATGCAGATGCTAGATACAATTTGTATGAGTCCAAGGATGTAGATATGCTTATTGATAGCAGAGCAGATGCTTTATTCAATGGATATACGCAATTAGCCAAAATCTAGGAGCAAAAAACTATCAAATTGATCTTGAACGATTTGTATGTGATTTCATAGCCTCCCCATCCCCGTTTCAACAGGATCATTGGAGGATTGAGATATAACTCTGAAAGTGCAATGCTAGGGACAGATGCCGTGACGTGAATGTCCTATATAGCCCGTTGATTGGTGTGGTTTCCACATCGAAACTATGTCAATCAGTGTGCAAATTGTACGGTCAGTTTATCTGTGACCATCCTCCAAAGTGGTCCTAAAATGGGATTATTCATCTCCTTTCTCGCTTGCCTTCTAATCTTTCCTATGTCCACACTCATCGAGACAGCTCTCGAATCTACATAGTTTATGTTACTTTGTTGAGTCTTTATATTAACATCATCGAAGTAACTTGCACTAGGTGGCAAAGACTAAGGTCATAAACAGTTGCCTCAATCCTGTTTGGAACGAAGAGCTATGTTTCTCACTCACGGAACCTGTTGGTGTTTTAAATTTGGTAAGCTTCTGATTTTCACCCCTTATAGTTTGTCTCATTTTGCTGATGAAGTGTTATACCATCTGCTATTCATCTGACTATGCCGCAACCCGTGTGGGGCCTTTAGTAGCGAATATTCCTTTTTCCTAGTTTATGAATGGCAAAACGGATACTTCCAATAGATCAAGTAAAAAAATTTGTGATGGCTACGTAGGGAAAACTTCCATAAATTATTTTTCCACCTTTCATTTACCTATTATTCTTGTTTCAACATTTCCCCTTTCTTTTGATCTTCAGTAGACTAGAAAGCAGAACAATAATCCTCTTTAAATGTAAGGAAACTAAATGATGCTATCAGCACTTACCTTTGTATCTCTCGGTTGAGTGAAATCCCTCAGAGTTCTTCCTTGCATTATAGATATGAACTTTATCTGCAGTCGGTCAATCTTTTCAGTTAGATTTGAGATCAACAAGTGTGCTGGAAAGCAATCTGTTTCCATTGTCATCAAGTTTTCAGGTGCTGCTATGCCGACAGCAGGATTTAATAATCTCAAAATAACATATGGTGCTTTCTGCAGGAAGTGTTTGACAAAGACCGTTTCAAGTCCGATGACAGAATGGGACATGCCCACTTCAGCCTCCAACCGTTAGTCTCCGCTGCTAGATTGAGGAAGGTCCTAAAGGTTTCTTCTGGTGAGACAATGCTAAGAAAGGTGGTACCCGACAGCGAGAACTGCCTTGTTGGAGAAAGCTCTATTGCTTGCATCGATGGCGAGGTCGTACAAGAAGTTTGGTTGAGGCTTTGTGGGGTCGAGTCAGGGGAAATTCAACTGAAGATGAAACTGATAGAAACTCCGGTTGCGGGCAAGAGATAAGGCCTAGACTCTTAACTACCTATGGAAGATGTGAAATTCAGTTCCCATGTGTGTAAATCCTGTAGGAATCTCTCTAGTTTATAAGCTTGCTTTTAGCTCATATTCGTTTGATCGAGTGGAGGAGTTGCCCTCAACTTTATAGTGAAGAAACACAGAGCCAACATCTATCTAGTCCATGCGGCCCTGTGGCTTCCACAACTTGTCAAGACAAATCTCAGACAGTCGTACCTCGAAATTTCGACCAAAAGACTCTATAATGAGGGAAGACAACCATGGTTTCGCGGTTCTTGCTCATTCCACCTTTGAGAAAGTGGTTGTGAGCTCACTGTCCGGATGATTGGATCTTTTCCATCCATGGAGTTTGAATACTTAAATATTAAATCTCGCTTGCAATAGTTTAAATTTTTTAGAGTTATCCCGAGTATGAAAATGATCGTGAGAAAGTACAAGTGATATGAGTGGAGATTCAACTTTCTCTTACTCCAAAAATGATCCTGAGGACATTTCTCCTGACCAAAGGATCTTTTCTAGCTGCTATCCCTTCAATGTTTTCGGGGCACAAGATTCGGGAAAAGTCTGGGAACTTAACGATGATGACTGCGCGAAGGCTTTGGAACATATTCTTTCTCAATACCACGATGAAGCTCATATATCAAGTATGAGAGACGGTGAGAATCTCGTTAATCCATTCATGCGCGTTACCAATGAAATGATGGATGAGAATCTCGTTAATCCATTCATGCGCGTTACCAATGAAATGATGAGGCATTTGATTACTTTAAGATAGTTACTCCCGCCATTTACTCACGCCCGCCTGGTTGAACTTCTTCAATTTGACATTTGACTTGCATAAGTTCTGACATGGCAGAGGAAATGTTTACTTAACGCAAGAACCTTTCTTCCATTTGTGCCGATCTGCTTTCCAACGCACTAACGCCACCAATCTACTGGAGCATAAGGCAAACCTTCGCCGCGAGAGGTGATTCTTCAGGAATAGTATTTTATATCATATTTATAAAGATGTAGATAGATGAGCATATCACTGTGTGTGGTTCAGCTTGAGTGCTCATAGGATCTAAGTAGCACCGACACGACACGACACGACTCGCCGACACGTCATTTTTCAAAAAATGAGAATTCTGACACGTTGGGACATATTGTATATTAAATATATATTTTTATATATACATGATAAATTATCATTTTTATGATTATTGCAATCAAATTAATTTGATTCTAATCCACAAATAAATAAATAAATAATAAAAAAAGAGTGGCTGACGAGTGTCGGTGTTCGACACGTCCGACATGTGTCCGACACGACACGGAGGCCCCCCGGAGAGTGTCCGTGCTTCCTAGCATAGGATATCTGTTCCTATTCCGAGTCAACGGCAAACAAGAGATTTAATGTTTCGGCTAGACTATGCTGGTGATAAATCTTTTCGAGTTAAACTCCTAAATGGAAGAAAAAGTTCGAAATTACAAGGTCCTCAAATAAAATTTCTATATTCTATATTTAAAATTTTCATTCTTTCCCGCGCAATTAGTTTTCTTCAAATCTTCTTTGTCAAAATCATGCTAACAAAATCAAATGTCCTTATGTTATATAGTGATATCTCGCAGAACAGTTGCTATCCAGGTAATAACCATCAATGAGTATAGGTTATCTAGTTTGTTGCTTTTCCAAAACCATACATTCATATGACATTGAGAGACTGCCAATAATGGGAGCAATAAATCCTCATTATCTCCAACTTAATATCGTGTACTAGGACATGATCTGGTTATTCATGATGTTACAGTAGCTTCGAGCAAGCATAATGAAATGGTAGATCACACCCAGGCTAGGGCAAAAGCCAGTAGAGCAAATATGGCGGACTTATACGTCACCGAGGCGGGCATTCTCCCCTCGTCTATTCGGAAGAAAAGCCCGTTGTATAAAGGCAGGTTTATATAGACCAGCGAACCGCACCAGCCAATCTGCATGGCGAGCTGGTCTAGAGCCTGGCCGTGCATCACAAACCTTATTGTCGTGCTGATTAAGCACGATGCGTTGATCAGGGCGATGGTCGTTAGAATCGTGAACATGGGTGAGGGTGTGCCGAACTCCATGAGCTCTTGCTTGTACCTCTTCGAGATGTCGTCGGCCGCCACTTTCTCCGTGATGATGAAGGCAGTCTTGGCGACACCGAGCAGCCCCAGGATGGTGTCCAAGAAGCCAAAAAAATGGGAAGTTGTTCTCCGGTACAACCCCATTCTTTGGTCATTCCACCATCCTCGTAGCGTGCTTCTGCACGTCCACATGAATTCTCCAGCGCTGTATGCCATAGTCGCAATGACGACATACATGAAGGGTAAACCCCAAAGACTCGACACCTGATGCAGCAATTAATGGTCAAGCAACTTTACAAGTTATCAATTTTTGAAATAACATGTTTGAGTGATCACATACTATATGATTACCTCACATTTTGTTGGAGATATTACGATGCACAAAATTGTTTCTCAACTAAATTACCTTGGGGAATAAGGAGATGCCTCGGACGAGACAGAGGGATGGGACGGTCACATAGTACAGACTCGGCAAGGAATTCGCAGCCCACAGCAAGTAGTTGCAGTAGCACAATTGAAGCTTCAGAGGGATCTTGCGGTGTCCATACACAAAAGGACAGTGCCTCGAAAGGGTGATCTGGAAATCGCCCCCGGACCATCGCTTATGTTGGACTAGGGACTGCAACAATGTTGTGGGAGCGACTCCCAGGAAGCCCTTCCTTTCCGGTTTGAAATAGACCGATCTCCAACCTCGGCATTGAATTGATAAACCGGTAAGCACGTCTTCCACCGCGCATCCATACTTCAAACCCATCTACAAACTGACAATATAGTTAAAATTTCTTCAATGCCTATACTGGCAAACCGGCAACCATTTTGATGGAATTAAATGAGAGGGAGAGAGAGAGAGAGAGAGAGAGAGAGAGAGAGAGAGAGAGAGAGAGAGAGAGAGAGAGAGAGAGAGAGAGAGAGAGAGACCTCCTTTCCCCAATCAGTGTTCTCTTCATATGCACAATCAGCCAGGGTAATGCATGTTTCCTCTAAAACACCGGCGCTGACTCGTTTCTGGTCGTGGCAGTCCATCTTCGAGGATTCCGTCTTGCCTTCTGGCGTATACTTTCTCCCGGACAGTGCCTCTCTGCGGTGAAAGCACCCGGTGCCAATGTACATAGGCCCGCCATTGCCGTCTAGTCCATGAAACTCCACCTAACAGTCACAAAAATGTAGCAAAAACTCAGTCCATTTGCATATCATTCTTTAGAGTCTAAATTCATAGTTCTTGAGAGGCTTACGTGATTGATTAGCCCCAAGGAACTGCTGTATAAGTCATTCTCTGTGAGGTTATCGAAATTCTGTGGATACTGTATGTAAGCAATGTCATGACCATTCTCCTCATCCAGGAAGAAGCAAAGGGCGTCTCTCACCGAGTCCGAGTTGTTTGAGTACACGTCACAGTCCACGTTAAGGATGATGGGCGCGTTGCTGATCTTCGACGAGACCCTAATCTATTAATCCGGAAGAAAAGGAGGGAAAAATTAGATATGATCTTGAACATCAGTAAATCTCGTCCCATGTATTTCATTTCTCCTAATGATCAGAACATGTTGATTTTTAGTTAAACATATGTATGAATCTGACAAAAATAGCAGCTACGAAATGATTAATGTTGGATCATGCCAATCTATTTGCCAATTCAGAGCAGATATCGTGAAGAATTTGGACCTCTCTAATGCCGATTTCCTAGAACAAAAGAACTTTTGTAACACGTCAAAATTACTCCTATTGGATGATGAAATTACCTAATTCCTACCCTCCTATCATAAAAGTTGCAAATAGCCTATCTTTGAGATATATTTGATGGAAAAGTTGCAAATTTTCAAAATGGTAGTCAGTCAAAAAGCAATTAGGGGTGATACATATACTCCTCCTATATGTGTTTGATAGTAATATTACCATTGCATTCATCGCTCCTGCTTTAAAATTGTGGTGGTATTGTGGTCTCTTTTCTCTTGCTAGGTACACTAGAGTTGGAAGAGGTTGTCCTTCGTCGTCCACAGCCGTAGGGTCTGTCCCATCAATTAGTATCTGAAAAATCGTGCGAAAATATTTCGGATAAATGTGAAAGGTCTAGAATCATCTACATTGGTAGAAATTATTGAGAGCACTGCAGTTTTATCTGTGTATAGTACTTGAAGAATCGTTTGATGATCTCTTCTGCTGGAGACGGAGTGCCATTCGAGAAATCCTTTGTGCTGCTTCCGAATGTCGTCTGGAACACTTCCCAGCTCCGCCATTGCTTCGATCCGTTGCCTCATGTCTTCGTATAAGTTCTACCACGAATCAAAGAGCACGAAGCCTTATGAGATGCAATTTCTTCAAACTGAAGAGGCACTGAATTTGTTATATGCCGGATCTTTCATGCAAGTCTAGAAGTTATATGAATTGCAGTGTGTTCAAATTGGCAGATGGTAAGTAAAACATTGTCGACTTGCATCGAATCTATGTATATCTGCAGACAACTCATGTGATTACTTCTGCCTCTAGCTTTTAATCTGTATTCTCGCCAGGGTCTTATAATGTCAGTATTCAATAACTATTCGTAGCAGCTACAGCCATCCGGAACCCTTGTTTGGTCGGAATGTGTGCTTCACATCTGTGACATATTGTGCCTACGATTCACGGTCGACTTACGAAAGAGATGTTTGCTAGCTCTGAGCAGGCAAGTCTCGACTTATCGAATGGCTATCTTCGTTCTCACTGGAATCGAAACTGTGTTTTACTAGAAATAGATAGGTTATCCTTCCATGCATCATGATGTGATTTAAGCCTTTGTCATCTTGTAGCTGTCGCTAAACCCTAGTCGATTCCATGCACGTCAGTTTCTTGTACAGTCATCGTTTGCCAATCAAGATGCATCAACCAGCTCAGTGGTTCTTGTTTTTCCAATTCTTTAGGGAAGATGCGATATCTGTCAAAAGAATGAAGAAACTCATTTGGCGGAGAAGACTAAAGTGACAAACATGGTTTTTTCTCTATCGAAACGCCGACGGCTATTATTGTCGATTTCTTTTATTTTATTTTTGTTGCATTTTAATCCGATGGTCATCGTCGCTAATCATGCTATAAGGAGTAAGAATACTTAAATTCAGGAGGCGAGCAAAACAAACACCCTAATTCAAGAATGAGAAATTAATATGAAATCTCAATAATTAGTTCTTGACTTTCGTGCGCATTATGATCTCCCTTGGTTCCTCAGTTAGCTATAAGCTAATAGCAAATGCCAAAACCATCAGATAACTCAATCATAAACTAAATTATTGAGGTTTAACAAGGACGTCCCCTCATAAGTTTATCAATTTCGAATAGACATAAAACTTGGAATGTTAGTGATCGACATGGGTGGACAAGACAGACCAAAAAAAAAAAAAAAGACATGGGTGGACAAGTATGTGCGACTAATCCCTTATTCAATAAAGCTGATTACAACCGTCGCCTAGAATATCTATAGCTGAGTAAAGATATAAGAGAAAACCAAAATTGTTTGGACTCTTCTTTTACTTCGATGTCATATTTCCATCTGACTTGGTATCTGATAAATGGGGTAGCTCTCTCTCTCACATTGACCTTTGGGTCTGTCATATTTACCTGCAAGTCTTCTCTCTTGTAGATAGTTATTACTTAGACACGTGATTGTACTGGTCGGCTTCGGGCTGGAGGTTCACGATTTCCAGAGCGTGCTTCGGCAGCTCGTGGTGGAGTACTCTCTGATTGCCTCGTATTCCTGAGGGAGTGATAGGGATTCTTCAGAACTCTCTCTCTCTCTCTCTCTCTCTCTCTCCGCGCCTGTGTATGCTTTGCATTTAACTAGATATTACAGACCCAAGATTGATGAGAGAGAAAGAGATATGATGATGATGATGATGGTGATGAGGAGGAGGAGGAGGAGGCAGAGGAGGAGTTAGAAGGGTGAATCTTCTTTTTGTGGTGTATGTTTACTAGGTTTAAGGGTTAAGTGCAGATGTTGGAGAGGTCAAGTTTTTCTTTGTTGCGTTTGAGAGAATCGTCTAGAGAGGCTTACCTTCACTGACAGCCACTCCTGGCGCTTGAGAGAATCGTCTAGAGATTTGACGGCGCTTTCGAAATAGGCCTCCGGCGACCTTGGTTCGACATTAAACTTCCTGCAGAAGGGAAGCCATTTCTTGGAGAACTGAGAAGCTTCGAGCAATGCGTAGAAAGTAAGGTCGGAACAGCCGTCGTCGGAGAGATAGACGCTCATCTTCTCCGGCGGATAATTGTACGCCATGACCGATAAGGCAGTGTTGATCACCATGGTCGGTGGCTCAATCACGGGATCTGCCGTGCAAACAAATATGTCAATCCCCGGCAAAACCTTCTCGTATCTGAAACATCAAGAAAACAATATTACAAAGTGATCGGTATCGTTGAGCCCAACGACTTTCCTGGAAACACTATTTACGCGAGTGTTTAGCGAAATATTAGAGAAAAGACCAGGAAAATGCACCTCCGAGAAAGCCTGTCCTTGAAGGTGCGGCGATGCACGGGGTTCCATCTCACGACCACCGTGATGAACCAGTAAAAAGCGAACCAGAGCTCGGACAAGAAAGCTCCAAGCCAAGCCCACTTCGCAGCCGTGTTTGGCTCCGGCAAGCGATGAACTCGGTAGCAGAAGATGAAGACGATGCCGACGAAGACGGACAGTGCGTACGATCTGAAGATGAAGAGGTTCTTGGCTGACTTCGTTTCAAACAAAGGAGCATGACTCTTCTCTACCATCTTTTGTCTTTGTTTCTCCGATTCCAAATCTTCTTTCTACAGTATCAATGTCAAAATGTGTGGCGAGGAACTATGCTGTATATATAGTAGGATAAATTCAAAGTGCGATTGAGTCCTAAAACTTTCAAAAGATGTAATTAAGTTTTAAAACTTGTCACAAAATTACAATTTATTCATAAAACTTTTAAAAAGTGCAATCAAATTCTAAAACTTTCTCTACCATCTTTTGCCTTTGTTTTTCTTTTTCAAATCTTCTTTCTATAGTATTCATAATTTTCTTATGCGCAAATTCGCCGGTCCTCAACTCTCGCTAAATAATATACAATCAACCCCTAATATTCATATAATGACATTTAGAAATCATATATAGGTTTTATATATTGAAATCATTTTTTTCATTTTCAAATTCTCGGGGGAGACAAAAAAAAAATTAGGAAAAGTGAAAGCAATAAGTAAGTTTCTTATTTGCTAAGCATGGAAATCAAAATCACTACAAACATATTTCATGCCCTCAAAACGAAAATCCTAAAAAATCATTTTCAACCATGGTATAGAAAATGGATAATTGTATTGGAAGTGCTAAAACTTTCAAAAAAGTGCAGGTGCAATTAATTTCTAAAACTTTTAACAAGCATAATGAAATCCTAAATTTTTTTAAATTGATCAAATCAAATCTTTTCGATGAATGCACTTTTTAAAATGTTTAGTACTTAATTGCACCAATTTGACAAGCTGTATGTTTTGATTGCGCTTTTGAAAGTTTAAGAATTTAATTATACTTTCGTGACAAATAAAGACTTAGAAAAAGAAAGAAAGAAAAAAAGAAAAAAAAAACAAAGCCATGGCAAATGGCGGCAGTGAAGCAAATTGCCATTCGGAGGAGATTCACTGTTGATTCCCCGGCCTAAAGGGGAGCTTTCGGCGACGAGACATGAACAGCTTGAGGCTGAAACTGAAGGCTAACGCCGACCCAGAAGCGTCAACCTCGAAGCCTCTCGAGTTTGATCCCAGCGAAAGCGTGAAGAAAGGAGAAAGCTTCGATCTTGGGCATGGGAGCGAGGTCTTTCACGTGCCCCGCTTCTTCCCGGCGGACCAGTCGTGGGCATGGTTCGATTACATCAACAAGCACGTCCCTTGGTCCAGACCCACTCTCCGCATCTTCGGTCGCCGTCTCGTCCAGGTCACTCCTCTGTCTCCGGGTGTGTGTGTGTGTGTGGTGGGGGTAGCTTTCGATGATGTGGTCGGAAAAGCATGAATGTAGTAGTATCGTAATGCTTGAATTGCGGGACTTTGCAATGACCCAATACAGACTCCTAAGTGAAGAACTTTTTGTGGTCATTTTGGGGCTGCTGGTCATGATTTGCTAGATTGTCTCAACCGCAAGTGGCCACAGCTTTGATGGGTTTCGCACGTTCTTTGTCGCTGCAGTGATTGTCTTGACACTCTCACACGACCATTGTTCCATGTTCGTGTCTTCTTGTTGTTCTGAATATATGGGTTCCTCTGTTTGCAGCCCAGAGATTCTTGTTATATTGCGGCGGAAGGGTTGCCGGCAATTAGTTATAACGGGCACACGCCTCGTGCTTATTCTTGGGGCGATTTTCCTCCACTCAAGGACATCTTGGATGCAGTAAGAATGATCTCAGCTCGTGACATTGCTTAGCCAAGGGGTTCTTCTCTCAAGGCTTTTCCAGTATCTTCACATTTCTTGACATGATCGATGTTATTACGTTTTATCGTTTTCTTTTGAAGGTCCATAAAGCTCTTCCTGGAAGTAGATTTAATAGCTTGGTACTAAACCGATACGATGGTAACAATGACTATGTGTCTTGGCATTCTGATGACGAGATGCTTTATGGACCGACCCCAGAAATTGCCTCAGTTACCTTTGGATGTGAGCGTGAATTTTTGCTAAGGAAAAAACCCAGTAAAATGTCTCGAGGTATAAATGAAGCACATCTTTGGTTTATGGAAGTAGTCATGCTCAAACTACACTGACTTTTTTCATTTTGTGTGAAATGCTTGATATTCATTTTAAAATTGTACTTATTGTTGATTTGGAAGTTGACTGGTTTCTTTTTCTTTCTCTCTTCTGTTTTTCTTTAAAAAAAAAATATCCTTTTCGGGTTTAAGCATCTGATGATGAGCCTAAGAGCAAGCGACTAAGGAAGAGCCATGACCCTGATCAGCACTCTTTCGTGCTAAAACATGGATCGCTGCTTGTAATGAGAGGCTACACTCAGCGGGATTGGCTTCACTCGGTTCCAAAGCGAGTGAAACCGATGTCTATTCGAATCAATCTCACCTTCAGATGTGTCCTGCCGTAGCTCTGCCACCAAGCACATAATCATTTTTCTCTGCTCCTGTTAGTTATGTTGGGTTTGCAGTCAACAAGTTTTGAGAGAGCAACTGTCTATGGCAACTGCTTCTATATGTGCAAAGTGCGAAGGAAGTCGAACCAGAGCACCATGTGTTTATAGGTTTCAACCTACAGGTGTTAAATTGACTTAGGTTGCTCTGTTTTCATTTTGGCTAATATTAAGAACTTGAAGTTGTGATTTTTTTTTCACAGCTATATTTAGTCTGTCAATACCTCTGTTAAACCATCTCCTTGTAGTATATGGCTTCTGGTACTTCCGCGACTGGTCTATTTATTCTAGAAAAAGTATCTGGCGAACTAAGTGATGTTTGGTGATTTCTCTAGATAAGAAGAATGAGGTCTCAACATTTATTGAACTGTACAATGATAACATTGAGATCGGCAATAATAGGAATGATAAAGACTACACAAAATAGGACACAGCAACAGCAGCAGTAGGTTTTTCTCATCAGGTCCTGATGGCATCCTACTTTGTATGATGTCTAGAGCATGGTTCAAATAGTGATGAAGTTACACCAACTTCTAGCCAATACAGTGGAATGGTAGATTATACACAGGCTAAAGAACAAGCTACTAGAGCAAAGACTGCGGATTTATATGTCACCAAGGTAGGCATTCTTGCCTTGTCTTTTCGAAAGAACATCCCTTCATACAGAGGCTGGTTGACACAGACTAGCAAACTGCACAAAATGATCTGCATAGCCAGCTGGTCTAGAGTCTCGCCATGCATTGCTAACTTGAGTAAAACTCCAATGAAGCTTAATGCATTGAGCCAAGCAAGGGTTGTAAGGATTGTGAACATAGGAGAGGGTGCACTAAACTCCATGAGCTCTTGCTCGTACCTCTTTGATACGTCGTCATCTGCCACCTTCGCAGTGATGACAAAGGCAGACTTGGTAATATCCAGCAGCCTCAGAATGTTGTTCAAGAAGCCAAAGAAATAGGAAGTTGTTCTCTTATAGACCCACATTCTTTGGTCATTCCACCAACCACGAAGAGTGCCTCCACACCATACGAATTCTCCGGCACTGTATGCACTAGTCGCCATAATGGTATAGATGAATGGGAAGCTCCACTGACTCGAAACCTGATGGTGCAAGAAACTATTAGCTCTAGCAAATGACATTTTGAATCAACGATTATGTGGATGCCTCTGCTCTATGGTTATATCATAGCCAAGTGTTTTATACTGTCAAGTAGCCAAATCAGGGATCAAATGGCTAGCACAAGTTATTAGTGCTTGATTTTGACACTTTTTTGGTGGTGTCAGTGTAATACTACTATAATAGAGGGGGTATAGCTGGAATTTTTCTTATGTATAATGAATTGATTGTTTTGAGATTTTAGCACCATGACCAACCTTACGTATATATTTGTATGTGTGGAAAGGAGGCATCAAAATTAGTTTTCTCCCAAAAAAAGTCATCTAATTAATTACCTTGGGGAACAAGGAGATGCCTCTGAGTAGACAGAGAGATGGAATAGTCACATAGTATAGAGAAGCCAAGCAATTTGCTGCCCATAGCAAGTAGACACAATACGAGAGTTGCAGCTTCAGGGGGATTTTGCCGTGTCCATACAACAGAGGACAGTACTGTGACAGGAAGATTTGGAGATCACCTTCAGTCCATCTCTTATGTTGAACTAGGGACTGCAACAATGTTGTGGGAGCAACTCCTAGAAATCCTTTCCGTTTGGGGTTGAAATAGATCGATCTCCAACCTCTGCATTGGATTGCAAAACCGGTAAGGACATCTTCCACCGGGCATCCATACTTTAGACCCATCTGCAATTCAGAGAAGACTTGTTTCTTGGATGATTTTGCATGTGTATGTTTGCATATTTCTGGTGCTTGAAAGAATGCCTGTATGGCCTATGTCAGTTCTGACGGCTGAATTTCCCAGTCCAGTCTTTGAATAATATGATATAAGCAGAGCTTTTGGTTGCATCAAAATCCGGAATGATATAAGAGACTTGATTGCTTTTGTTCTTTATTCTTTGCACTTAATCAAAATGACATAGAGAGTCTTACATGAGAGTTTTATCATCTAAGCTCAGTTTCCATTAACTTGTAAACTGCTTCTCGCTTGTTAGTTGTAGACCATAGAAAGCACTGCTCCCTTGTTATCCATAGAATATGGTGCTGAATGCTTAACGTTCTCTGCTTTCTTCCCCTATTTCCATTCTTTGACTAAGTTTCTCTACAGAAAATTTTGAAAAATCCTCGAAGGCTCGAAAATTTAGGCCAAACCTTGATATGGTTGACATGTTTTGACTAGTTTTTGAGCAAGATGAGGTCTTGTATTTCATTAGTCATAAGGATGACTCAAGCTTATGTGTGTGTGCTTGTGAGAATACGCTTTTATGATGTATATGTGCATGTTAGGACATTCAAATGTAGAGAGAGAGAGCGAGAGAGAGAGAGAGAGAGAGAGAGAGAGAGAGAGAGAGAGAGAGAGAGAGAGAGAGACCTCTTATGATGTATATGTGCATGTTAGGGCATTTATGATGTATATGTGCATGTTAGGACATTCAAATGTAGAGAGAGAGAGACCTCTTTTCCCCACTCAGTGTTCTCTTCATAACCACAGCTGGCTAGTGTTTTACATGTTTCTTCTAAGACACTTGCACTGTCTTGTATCCTCTGGTGGTGATCCCACCTCAAGGACTCGCTTTTACTACCCTGTCTATACTTTCTCCCGCACATTGTCTCTCTCCGATGAAAGCACCCAGTGCCGATGTATGGAGCGCCACCATTAGCGTCCATTCCATGGAGCTCCACCTGCATCATCATAGAATGTACTAATAGTCATTATGATATCTTCACTCACCCAATGTACTTGTCCTATTCCTTCAATTTAATTTGACCAATAGAGTCTATCGGTCTCCTTTTTATTAGCTTCATTTTAGTCCACGCATTAGAATTTGCTGAGTTGCCCAATGGGTATGTGCCGACTTGGACTTGTGATTTCAAGTTCACTTCATGAGTTCAAAGTCGTGGTTACCCATTTTAGTGCAGTTTAGCAAATATGGTGTCTCTGTCAAACCCCAAAAACAACTAGAAAAGGAGGATGACACGACCGTCCTTCCACACGAAAGACGCGGCATCAACAATAACCAACAACCTGTTATATATATATATATCAAACCACACATATATCAGATAAACCAATGGGTTAATTACAACATCAGAGTTTCTATAATCCACTAAAAGAACATGTACAACAATAACTCAGCCAACCCGACGAACTATCAATAACCTTACAAACAACTTCCAAAAAATCTACACCTCAAAAATCATAACCTCAGCTCTGATACCACAAGATGTCACACCCTGAAACCTACCAGGATGGGGGATGACACGATTATCCTTCCACCCGAATGACGCGGCCTCAAACCACTCGAAAGATGCAACCTCAAACCACCCAAAAGTCCTCAAGACATCCCTCTCTTTCCCAATCTTTTCAAGTTCTTTGGTCAGTAGCCATTAGAGTGAGAGCGATGTCGTGGGGACTTTTGAATGGTTTGAGGCTGCGTCCTTTGGGTGGTTTGAGGCTGCGTCATTCGGATGCAAGGATGGCCATATCATCCCCCATCCTGGTAGGTTTCGGGGTGTGACAGTATCCGTCTTCATATTTTAACGGAACTGTAGAATCATTAGAATAAGACATATAAGTGAGTGCATTAAGCTCATTTCACATAATAGAGACTGAATGGGTTATCGCAGTAAAGTTTAGGGACACTGTCGTGTCGACATCCTTTTGAATAGGCTTACCTTGTTTATTACGTTCAAGGAACTGCTGTATAAGTCATTGGTTGTGAGGTTATCAAAGTTCTGCGGGAACTGTACGAAACCAATCTCATCACCATTCTCTTCATCCATGAAGAAGCACAGCACGTCTCTCACCGAGTCCGCATTGTTCGAATACATGTCGCAGTCCACATTAAGGATGATGGGCGCATTGCTGATCCTCGATGAGACCCTAATCTATTTTCCCCAGAAAAATAACATAAAGATTAGCACCAAGATTGTATTTTAAGCCCTCAATCGATCCAAGGGCAAGATCCTCACGTACATAAATAAAGAAATCTGTACAAGTTGATGTTCTTCACTTTTCTTTATGATGAAAAACTGTGGGCTTTGAGTGAATCATGTTTATAGATACAGTATGTTGAGAATTACCAGAGCATTCATAGCTCCTGCTTTGAAATGGTGGTTGTATTGTGGTCTCTTTTCTCTGGCCAAGTACACCAGAGTCGGTAGAGGCTGTCCTTCATTGTCCACGGCCATGGGATCCCTCCCATCGATTACTATCTGAAGAACCAGGAGAAACATGTCATTGATGTTGCTGAAAGATTACGACGTTAATCTTTTATTGTAGATGTATGGTACTTGAAGAATTGTTTGATGATCTCTCTGGCTTGAGACAGTGTCCCATTCGAGAAATCCTTTGTGTTGCTTGCGAATGTCATCTGGAATCCGTCCCAACTCCGCTACCGTTTCGATTCGTTTCTTCATGTCCTCGTATGAGTTCTGTCATAAGCATAACCAAAGGGCAAAGTTCTTTTTAGTTTTGCTATGTATCATTTATTTCATACAATTAATGTAAGTAATACATTACCAAGTTGATATAATCACTTTAGTTACATTAATTTGAAATTTCGGTCCCTATAGTTCGATCCTACATCATTGCCAATTATCTCTTTCCTATGTCCAATATTTGGAATTCTACTTTTGTCCCTGTGCTTTTCATTTGTTTAATCAAGTCTTTCTACTTCCACTATTTTCTAACCGAGCCCGTCAAAGGTCAAACACTAATTTTTGTCAAATCCAGTTGTGACGTGGCCATAGGACAATATCATGCTTTGATGCAAACAAAAATTTTCTATTGTGGCCGTCTATATTGACTAATTTTTATTCACGTCATTCTCTAATGTTGTCTCAAGCTAAATTTTTCAACATAGGTCCGGATTGGCATCCACATATTTTATCCGCATGATACTTTGGCGTCGTCCTCCAACCATATTAGCTCAATTTAGTCAAATTTAGTGTCCGAAGGACTCGATAGAAATTTTATGAAAGTAGAAGGACTTAATTGGGAAAAACGTAAAAGTACTAAGACAAAAAGTACACTTTTTTTCTTGATTTAAGTGGTGATCTCTGGATGAACTGAAGTCTCGTTTTCTTTTTACTTCTCATCTAAATCCAAAACCATGATTTTTGACGCCCCAAAAGCAATGTTCTCTTCATGGAATCTTTGTATTTGAGTCTACGACACTATAATCCCATCCAAAAATATGCCTTTCAATGTTTCTTGTCGATATCATAAGGTTAAAAGCTCCTCTACAACCATTATTTTGTGGTGAAGTGTGGAATTTGTCAAAAGAACAAAACCTCATTTCACCTAGAAGATAATGGGACCATAAACATCGTTCTCAATGAAAACGTCGAAGAGAAACTCCTCAAGGACTGTTTCTCTCCCTTGATCTCTCGACAAATCTTGTAGAAGAATCGAACGATAGCGAAGAAAAGGGCTTTTTCCATAGCTACCATTCAACGTTTCGGGTAATTGAGAAGAAGAGACCTCCAAAAAGTCAAGGTAAACCGAGAAAAAATTACACCAGGCAGCGATTGAAAAGACAAGTCATGACATGATCTATGGACCACGTGAACTGATTCCACATTATCAGCTTTGTAGATAGATCTGATCAACATAAGTCTGTCGACCATCCAACATGTTTTCGAGAAGGTGGCCAAAGGAGACAAATGACACTTGAAAGGCTATGGATAGAAGAAGAGTGCAGGGCCATAGTGTTCAGTGTTTTATTGCACTATGCAAAAGAGAAAGAAGAATAGCTCCCCGCCAGTTAGCCCACTATATAAAAGAAATATATGAGGCGCATTGCGTTTATTTGATGTGTTAGCAATATATTTGATCGATGGTGGACTTAGTAGGACTAATTTTCAATCATTGATAAACTTGTTGTCTACCACGGACGAATCGACATACCCTAAAGTCTCACAATCGTCAAACTAATCTTTCAGGTGGAGATGTGATCAAAAATTATAAAGCTTGGCTTTGAAACTGAGGCATTCTTGCCTCAACCTGGTTTAGAATAAACTGCCACAAAATTAGATCTCGAATCTTTAAGTTTTACAGTTATATAAATGAGAGAGAGCTTTGTGTAGGTCACGAGTACATGTTGATACGAGCAATCATACTGATTCAATTTGAAAACCGAACCGAAACAATTTTATCCAACCGGTTTCAAGCCGATTCACACGAGAATCAGTTCGGTCCCAAGTGACAAAATTTGGGAACCAGCCTTTATTGGTTTGGTTCCTGGTTCTATACTAGGAACGTTTAGTTCTACTCGAGAACCGATTCAAAGCCTACCCCAAATCTCTCAAATATTTTCTGCTTTCTTTTCTAGTTCTCGGTCTTATGATTATTTTTTTTATGTGAAATTTTTACATTACAAGTACAAAATGAATATGCATGATTCACTTAAAAAAAATCGGTCAGTTCAGTTCCAGGCCAATTTCAAAGCCAGTATGTTCGGTTCGCGGTTCCAAAAACTAGAAATCGATTATGATGGTTCTAGGTACTTGGTGTGGAACCTACCCACCTTGCAACCTATCATAATGTGTATTAGGTTGGTATGTTTGGTGTTGCTGTTTTAGTTAATTAGGATAAGGCTTTTTGTGTAGTTTAAGTGTGCCCCTGTAGATATGGAGTGAATCGGTTATTAATCCTTATTTTAGCTAAAAAACATATAGACGAGAGTCATAAATATTTTACTGAAAAAATGGTACAACATGAGAGAGAGACAGAGAGACAGAGAGACAGAGAGATGTGCTTACTTTCATGGAGCACCACTCCTTGGACCAGATAGAATCATTGAGAGGCTCAACAGCCTTTCTAAAATAGGCCTCCGGCGATCTTGGTTCAACATTAAACTCCCGGCAAAAGGGAAGCCATTTCCTGGAGAATCGCGAAGCCTCAAGTAATGCATAGAAGGTAAGATCTGAACCGCCGTCGTCGGAGAGATAAATGCTCATCTTCTCCGGTGGATAATTGTATGCCATGATCGATAAGACGGTGCTGACCACCATGGTCGGTGGCTCTATCACAGGATCTGCCGTGCACACAAATACGTCTAATCCTGGAAAAACCTCGCCATACCTAAAAGAGTTCATGCAAACAACCTTACGAGAGCGATCAAATTCAAATCTCGTGCAATGACTTCAAACAGAAAGACTATTCCTTCTCCTTCCCCCATTTTTAAGGACATATAGTGTCTTGGATCAGTTTTTGCACGGTAAGTTTTGTTCTTGTGATGGTATTATGAGATCGAGGCCGAAACTCGGCCATACCGAAAATTTCAACGGTATTTTCGAAGAGTATATCCTAAGAAAACCTTGTCAAGGTATTGATGATTAGCCCATAGTATTTATAACAACGAGCTGGTCGAGACTTTTAAGGTTGAAAAGTACAAACTTCTTCCATCAAGTCAACAGACATATTAGTGAAGGAAGGAGGGAGAAAGAGTGAGAACACACCTCTGAGAAAGCCTGTCCTTGAAGGTATGGCGATACGAGGGGTTCCATCTTATGACGATGGTGAGAAACCAGTAAAAAGCGAACCAGAGCTCGGAGAAGAAAGCTCCAAGCCAAGCCAATTTCTCAGCTGTTTTGGACTCTGGCAAGTGAAGGATTCTGAAGTAGAAGATGAAGCAGATGCTGATGAAGATGGAGAGTGTGTATAATCTGAAGATGAAGCGGTTCTTGGCTGACTTTGTTTCAAAGAGAGGAAGATTACTCTTCTCTCCCATTCTTTGGTTCTTCTTTTTTCTTTTCCTCCTTTCTGTATGGCAAGTGTGTGCAGCAATTAGGCTATATTTATATAGAAGGCAGTGTCTAGTTTTTTTTTTTTTCATTTCTTTATACATGGACAATGAGATGTCTCGACCCACCCATCGGTGGCCGCGTTGGTTTGCGCTCAGTTCCTTTTACGAGAGGTCCTGGGTTCAAAACTCGCCCATCGTTGATTTAAGTGGGGGGTCGTGGCGGTGGGATGCTGCGCTAGCCCCCCTCGAGGACTAGTCGGGCATCACCGCTGGTTTGAGCCCTAGCTCGCCGGCCGTGCGGACACCTCGATTATCAAAAAAAAAAAAAAAGACAATGAGATGTCTCGAGATTTCTAGAGCACCTAACTATTTCATCTCCATTGAGGATGATACCGAAGTACTGGCCCTTCCATCTTAGACGCGCACCCGAGGTAATTACCCGAGCTTCAAAGGGTTGCCTAAGAAATGCGTAAATGTGATGATTTGAATTTAGGTTTTGAGATCCCACCAAAAAAAAATTTAGGTTTTGAGAGAAGAAGATGGATGCGCTTACCATTTTAGTTATCTCTCGAGATTTTACAGACGGTGATTCAACCAAATGGTAGTGAAGTCAAATTTTCTTGGAGTTATATATTAGTCATTATGGTTGGAGGAACAATGTTTATGTAGATAGTCAATTGAAATTTGCATGGAAATTCTCTATCTCCCGATGATGTTTCAATCTATGTCACATGCATAGGATGATGACTTGAATTATCAAATTATGCAATACTTGCAACTATGCTCAAATTAAGAGTAACAAGCGCACCAAGATTTCAGATATGTAACGATCGGAAGACATTAAGGTGATAGAAGATCTATATCCGTGATATACATGTTTTCATGAGATAGTTTATATCTAAATCTTTAATTCTCTTGTCATGTATTTCTTAGTACTAGCATATCATGTGGTTGTCATCTCCATCGGTTGAACTTGATGAAAATTCAAATTTCTTCTTAGTTGATCTTAGGAAATACAAAGACACATGCAGCGACGGACCCACAAGTTTTTCCAAGCTGTTCATATGAAAATAGCACCATATGGCATGTCGGTGTAGGGTCACCGATCAATCATATGATTGTTCACCCAAAGATATTACATTTTGAGCCACCTTTTGATAGGCTCACTCTAAAAAGGGTAATGATCATTGTAGTGTGTTTTTCAAGGGCACTAGATTAACGTCACCTTAGGACAACATCAAATACATTCAGTCTCGCTTTTAAGTATTGTGTGGTGCCTCATTAGGCTCATTAACTCAATCATGGAAGGGAAAGCCTTGGGAGGGTCTCATGAGGCAAAGAGTAGGTGAGACGAATTTATTAAAATTGCCACGAAAATGATTTCCAGGACTAGTAATTTCGAGGGCTTAGTTAATTGCAATATTTGGAAAAAGATTTGGGACTCGATAATTGGAGATATTTGATTATTTGTATCTCAAAAAAATTGCACGTACATTGCACGTATATTGCACGATTGTGCATATCTTAATTGAGATATTATCTTAGAATATATTATCTAATAAAGCCTATAAATGGGGTCATGTGTTCTTGTTCAAAATACATCGAAATATACAATAATTCCATAATTATCTCTTCCGCTTTATTATTCTCAACTTTGATAATGTGAATTATCAAGTTTTAGGCTCTTCGTACGAGGTGCTTTATGGACCGACCCTTGAAATCGCCTCCATTACGTTTGGATGCGAATGGGTTTTTTTGCTTAGGAAATGAGAGGCTACACTCAACAGGTTTGGCTTCACTCGGTGCCAAAACGAGCGAAACCAATGTCCATTCGAACCAATCTCACCTTCGGGTTTGTCCTGTCATAGTTCTGCCACCAAGCACATATCATTTTTCTCTGCTCCTGTTAGTAATGTTGGTTTGCTGTCAACAAGTCTTGAGAAAGCAACTGCTTCTATATGTGTATATGCGTGAAGGAAGTGGAAACGGAGCAGCAGGTGTTGATAAGTTAGTGTTGAATTGAGTTAGGTGCTCTGTTTCCATTTTGGCTAATATCAAGAACTTGAAGTTCTGAATTTTGATTCCACAGCTATATTGAGTCAGTCAATACCTCTGTTAAACCATCGCCTTTTAGTATGTGGCTTCTGGTACTTCTGTGACTGGTCTATTTCTAACAAATATCTGGCGAACTAAGAGATGCTTGGTGATTTCTCTAGATAAGAAGAACGAGGTCTCAACATTTAGTTTCGCTTTTATAAACTGTACATCAATAACATTGAGATCGACAACAGTGGGACTGATAAAGACTACACAAACTAGGACACAGCAACAGCAGCATAAAGTTTTTTACATCAGGTCCTGATGGCATCCTACTTTGTATCATGTCTAGTGTATGATACAAATTTTCATGAAGTTCCGGCGACTTCTAGCCAATACAATGTAATGGTAGATTATACATACGCTAAAGAACAGGCTACTAGAGCAAAGACTGCGGATTTATATGCCACTGAGGTGGGCATTTTTGCCTTGTCTTTTCGTAAGAAAATCCCTTCATATAGAGGCTGGTTGACATAGACTAGCAAACCGCATAATATGAACTGCATAGCCAGCTGGTCTAGAGCCTGACCATGTATTGCTAACTTCAGTAAAACTCCAATAAGGCTTAACGCATTGAGCCAAGCAAGGGTTGTTAGGAGTGTGAACATAGGGGAGGGTGCACCAAACTCCACAAGCTCTTGCTCGTACCTCTTTGATACATCATCGTCTGCCACTTTCGCAGTGACGACAAAGGCAGAATTGGAAATACCCATCAGCCTCAGAATGTTGTCCAAGAAGCCAAAGAAATAGGAAGAAGTTCTCTTGTAGACCCACATTCTTTGGTCATTCCACCAACCACGAAGAGTGCCTCCACACCATATGGATTCTCCAGCACTGTATACACTAGTCGCCATAAAGGTGTAGATGAAGGGGAAGCTCCACCGACTTGATACCTGATGTGCAAGAAACTATTAGCTCTAGCAAATGACATTTTATATCAAAGATTATGTGGATGCCCATGCACTTTGGTTATCTCACAACCTAGTGTTTTGTATTGTCAAGTAGCCAAATTATTGTTGATCAAATGGCTAGCACAAGTTATTAGTGCTTGATTTTGACACTTTTTTGGTGGGTTCAGTATAATACTACTGTAATAGAGGGGGTGTTGGTGTAGCTGGAATTTTTCTTATGTTTAATGACTTGATTGTTTTGAGATTTTAGCACCAGGACAAACCTTATGTGTATATTATGTATGTAGAAAATTAAATCAACATTAGTCCTTCCAGAAATGGTTATCCAATTCATTACCTTGGGGAACAAGGAGATGCCTCTGAGAAGACAGAGAGATGGAATAGTCACATAGTACAGAGAAGCCAAGCAATTTGGCGCCCATAGCAACCAGACACAATATGAAAGTTGTAGCTTCAGGGGGATTTTTCCATGTCCATACAGCAGGGGACAGTACTGTGATAGGAAGATTTGAAGATCACCTTCAGCCCATCTCTTATGTTGAACTAGGGACTGCAACAATGTTGTGGGCGCAACTCCTAGAAAGCCATTCCTTTTGGGGTTGAAATAGACCGATCTCCAACCTCTGCAGTGTATTGCTAAACCGGTAAGGACATCTTCCACTAGACAGCCATACTTTAGACCCATCTGCAATTCAGAGAAGATTTTTTTCATGGATGCTTTTGCATGTGTATGTTTGCATATTTTTAGTGCACGAAAGCCTGCCCATGTGGCCTATTTCAGTTCTGACGGTTGAATTCCCAAGTCCAGTCTTCGAATAATTATGATATAAGCAGAGCATTTGGTTTGATCAAAATCCGGAATTATATAAGAGACTCTATTGCTTTTGTTCCTTCACCTTTGAACTTAATCAGGATGACATACAGAGTCCTACATGAGAGGTTTACCATCTAAGCTCGGTTTCTGTGAACTTGTAAACGGCTTCTCTCTTGTTAGTTGTAGACTATAGAAAGCACTTCTCTCTTGTTATCCGTATAATATGGTGCTGAATACTTAACCTTCTCTGCTTTCTTCACCTTCTTTGACTAGAATTCTCTCCAGAAAAATTGAAAAAATATTCAAAAGGCTCGAAAATTTAGGCCAAAACTCGATTTGGTTAACTTATTTGGACTAGTTTTTGAGCAAACCAGGGTCTTAGATTTCATTATTCATAAGGATGACTCAAGCTTATGCATGTGTACTCGTGAGTATACACTCTTATGATGTATATATGCATATTAGGACATTCAAATGTAGAGAGAGAAAGAGAGAGAGAGAAAGAGAGAGAGAGAGAGAGAGAGAGAGAGACCTCCTTTCCCCACTCAGTGTTCTCTTCATAAGCACAGCTGGCTAGTGTTTTACATGTTTCTTCTAGGACACTTGCACTGTCCTGTATCCTCTGGTGGTGATCCCACCTCAAGGACTCACTTTTACTTCCCCGTCTGTACTTTTTCCCACACAGTGTCTCTCTCCGATGAAAGCATCCGGTGCCAATATACCCAGGTCCACCATTAGTGTCCATTCCATGGATCTCCACCTGCAATCATCATAGAATGTACTCAAAATTATTATGATGTCTTCACTCATCCAATGTAGTTGTCCTATTACTTCAGTTTAATACGTTCAATGCGTCTATCGGCCTCATTTTAATTAGGTACAATTCAGACCAGCGTTAGAATTTGCTGAGTTGCCAATGGGTATGTGCTGACTTGGACTCGTGATTTCCAGTTCAATTCATGAGTTTAATTGAGCTGTGGTAACCCATTTAGCCCAGTTCAGTAAATAAGGATTATCGGTCGGCAAATTCTAACGGAACTGTAGAATTAATAGAATGAAACAGTCAAGCGAGAGCATGCAGCACATTTAACATATAGAGACTGAATAAGATATCGTGCTAAAATTCAGGGACAGTGCCGTGTCGACATCCTTTTGAAGTGGCTTACCTGCATTATCACGTTCAAGGAACTGCTATACAGGTCATTCTTCGTAAGGTTATCGAAGCGCTGTGGGAACTGTACGAAACCGATCTCATCTCCATTCTCTTCATCCATGAAGAAGCACAGTGCGTCTCTTAACGAATCCGAGTTGTTCGAGTACATGTCGCAGTCCACGTTAAGGATGACAGGCGAGTTGCTGATCCTCGACGAGACCCTAATCTATTTCATCCAGAAATATAACGGAAAGATTAGCACCATGATCGTCTCTTAAGCCCTCGATCGATCCCAGAGCAAGATCATCATGTACATATATAAAGAAACCTGTACAACTCGATGTTCTTCACTTTTAGTGAATCATCGTATGCTGATTCTTTTTTTTTTAGTGAATCATCGTATGCTGATTCTTACCAGAGCATTCATAGCTCCTGCTTTAAAATGGTGGCTGTATTGTGGTCTCTTTTCTCTGGCCAAGTACACCAGAGTCGGGAGAGGCTGTCCTTCGTCGTCCACGGCCATGGCGTCCCTCCCATCAATCACTATCTGAAGAAAAGAATCGGCAGAAACATGTCATGGATGTAGCAGGAAGATTAGAACACTAACTTCTTACTGCAGAGTCATAGTACATGAAGAATTGTTTGATGGTCTCTCCGGCTCGAGACAGCGTCCCACTCAAGAAATCCTTTGTGTTGCTCGCTAATGTCATCTGGAATCTGTCCCAACTCCGCTACCGTTTCGATTCGTTTCTTCATGTCCTCGTATGAGTTCTGTCATAAGCATAACGAAAGAGCACAATTATTTTTATGCATTTTTCATTTATATTTCATACAATTATGTGGAAGTTGGAATGAGTCACCTTGGGTTGAAATTGGCAATGGAAAATAACACATTATCAAATTTATAGCATCACTCTAGATTCAAATGACGCAGCAGTCGAACCACGTTATTGTGTGATATTGACAAAATTTTTCCATATGTCTAAATTTTTATTTGTATCATACTCTGACGTTGTCTCTATTGGCTAATTTTTTTAATACACGCCTCTGTGCATCCGCACGTCTTATCCACATCATACTTTGGCGTTGTTCTCCAGCCATGTTAGCTGAATTTGGTTGGATTCGGTGTCTGAGAGATTTGATTTGATTAGAAAATTTATGGAATTAGAAGGACTTGATTAGAGGAAACGTAAAAGTATTGGGACGAAAACTATAATTTCTTTCTTATTTTAAGTGGTGATCTACAAAAGACTTAAGTCTTTTTCGTCTGCTTTTTTCCCTTCCTTCTCATTTGGATCCAAAACCATGATCGATTACGCTAACTAAAGAGATGTCCTTTTCATGGAATCTTTGTAATTTGAGTCCACAACGCTACAATCCCATTTAAGACAAACCCTTCAATGCTGACATAAGATCTAACTTGTCGTGGAGCTGACGGCAATCAATCTCTTGTCGATATCACAAGGTTGGAAGTTCCTGCACAACAATTATTTTTCCCGATCTGGCTTCTCACAAATCGACAATAGATCATTCATGATACTCCATTTTTGGAGTGGAGTGTGGAATTTTGTAGAAAGATCAAAACGTCTTTTAACGTAGAAGATCATGGGCCACAAACATTGCTCTCAACGAAAACTTTTCGATATTTCTCTCTCCTGAAAAAGAAGTAAAAGTCTTTTCTATACCTACCATTCAATGTTTTCGATCACTTTGAAAAGAGAAGTTATTGTATGGTTTATGGACCACAAGGGCCAATATCATCTAACCATTAATTATGTGAACCTCACTAAGAAACCCACATGATCAGCTATCCAAATGGATTTAATCAAACATAGGTTTATGATCAGCTCGTATCTTTCCGGGAAGGTGGCCAAAGGAGACAAAATGGCACTTGAAAGGCTATAAATAGAAAGAAGAGTGTAGGGCCATGTTCTTCAGTGTCTTATTGAAATAATATAAAGTATTAGCTCCCAATGAATTCAAGAAACCTATCAGGTGATCGTCATAGGTTTAGGGTTGAAAAAGGGGAGATTTGCCTCCTAGCAGATCAAATTCTCTGGCAAGTAATAAGTTGCGCGGAGCGCGAGTTGCGTGTGAATTGATGTGTTAGTAATATATTTAATTGACAGCGGACTTAGTAAGACTTATTCAAATGTTCTATGTGGAGATCTGTTTGGAATACATTACCACCAAAAAGATCTCAAACCTTTGTGAAGAGAGAGAGAGAGAGAGAGAGAGAGAGAGAGAGAGAGAGAGAGAGAGAGAGAGAGATGTGCTTACTTTCATGGAGGACCACTCCTTGGACCAGATAGAATCATTGAGAGGCTCAGCAGCCTTTCTAAAATAGGCCTCCGGTGATCTGGGTTCGACATTAAACTTCCGGCAAAAGGGAAGCCATTTCTTGGAGAATTGAGAAGCCTTAAGTAACGCGTAAAAAGTAAGGTCCGAACCGCCGTCATCGGAGAGATAAATGCTCATCTTCTCTGGCGGATAATTGTATGCCATGATTGACAAGATGGTGCTGACCACCATGGTAGGTGGCTCTATCACGGGATCCGCCGTGCACACGAATATGTCTATTCCTGGCAAAACCTCGCCGTACCTAAAAGAGTTCGTGAAAACAATGTTACGAGCTGATTAGAAAGACTATTCCCTCTTCTTTTTTCAGGGACATATACTACGTTTTCGCACTTTAAATTTCGTTGTTGTGATGGTATTATGAGATCGAGGCCAACATTCAACCATACCGAAACTTTCAACAAAAGAAAAATGTTCGAAGAGTGTATCCAAAGAAGCAGCTGGTCAAGACTTTTTAGATCATCCATCAGTTCAACAAACATATTAGTCAAAGTAGAGAGAGAGAGAGAGAGAGAGAGAGAGAGAGAGAGAGAGAACACCTCTGAGAAAGCCTGTCCTTGAAGGTATGGCGATACGAAGGGTTCCATCTTACGACGATGGTGAGAAACCAGAAAAAAGTGAACCAGAGCTCAGAGAAGAAAGCTCCAAGCCAAGCCAAATTCTCAGCTGTTTTGGACTCTGGCAAGTGACGGATTCTAAAGTAGAAGATGAAGCAGATGCTGATGAAGATGGAGAGTGTGTATAATCTGAAGAGTAAGCGGTTCTTGAAAAACTTTGTTTCGAAGAGAGGAAGACTACTCTTCTCTGCCATTCTTTTTCTTGTTTTGCCTCCTTTCTGTGATTGCAGGTGTGAAGCATATAGTCAATATCTATATAGAAGGCTGTCGCTAGTCCTTTTTCTTTTCTTTTCTTCTCTGTTTTTTTTTACATGGACAACATGGTGTCCCGAGATTCTTTGAGCACCCGGCTATTTCGTCTACTATGAGGATGATTGAGGACCAGCCCTTCCATCTCACACGCGCCAAAGGGGTAATTACTAGAGGCGAGAGGTTTGTGCTTAAAGGGTTGCGATTTGAATCTAGGTTTTATTAGAAAAATACGAATACATTAACCCTTTTAGCAATCTTTCGAGATTTTATAAACGGTGATTCAATCAAATTGTTGTGATGTCAAATTTTTTTGGAGTTTTATAACAGTCATTATAGTTGAAGGAAAAATGTTCACGTAATTAATGACAGCTGAAATCTGAATGAAAATTCTCTATATCTAGTTGATGTTTCAATTTATGTCACATGCATAGAACGATGAGTTGCATTATTAAAATATGCAATGCTTGCGACTATGCTCGGATTAAGAGTAACAAGTGTACCGAGATTCCACATATATATGTAACCGTCAGTTGAACTTAATGAGAATTCACATTGCTTCTCGGTACCTTAGGAAACACAAGACACATGCAATAACGGACCAACAATTTATGCAAGTTCATATGAAAATAGAACCATATGGCATTTCAAGCATAGCGTCACCGTTCAATCATGTAAGTGTGGCCCAACAAAATTATGAAATACGCGCTTTGAGCCACCTTTTGATAGGCTTCCCTCTAAAAAGGATAATGATTATCGTACTATGTGTTCCATGAGCACTAGAGTAACGTCACCTAACGACAACATTAGATAAAACGAATCTAGCTTTTAACTAATGTGTCAGCCTTTGTTAGATTTGCGAAATTTGTCGCAAAAACGAGCAATCAAACAATAAAATTAACAGAATAAGAAAATGGTTCGCTTAGAGTGACCTACATCTACGAGGAGAGCAACACGAAATCCCACTATAAATCAAACTATAATACAAAGATTACAACTATACTCAAGTTACTGAAACATTCTTACTCTTTCCCAGCATCCAATTACAACTAGTAACTCATACAATATCTAGCCCCAAAAATTCTTCACGAAATAATCTCACAAAAAAATTATACAAAATCTTGCCCACAAGATTTAATTGGCTTCAATACTCTCAAATTACTTTAGTGTGTAATTCACAAAGAAGTCGCCTCTTAGATGCTCTTTACAACGAAGACACTTCTTATATATACACAAGAATATGATCTAAAATTGGAAACTCCCTTTTAGGAAACCTACTCAGATTAAAAAAGTTTTCTTTTTTTATTCAAACTCGAGACATATATAAAATTAAATGCATAATAAGCTTAGGGACGTTTAACCCTTAAACAAGCTAGGGTTTCATCAATCGTTAGGGTCAATGAATGGCCTAACAAAACTAGAGCGACAGCCAGCACGTACTTTCATCGTGCATATTTAGTCAGAATTAGGGTTATTACATAGAGCATTTATCATAAATCAGAACCGTTTCAAGTCTATTTCTACATAACTAGATGGAAACAAGGATTCTCGAGATTGTCTTACGAGGCAAAGAATAGGTGAGACAAATTTATCGAAATCGCAACATAAACAATTTCCAGCACTAATAAATTCGATGTTTTAGTTAGTTGCAATGTTTGAAAAACGTTTTAGGACTTGAAAATATGATCGGAAGTTCTTAGAGATTATCGGATTCCGCAGACGGTGATCAGGAGCTCTGCCGTAAGTTTTTTTTTTTTCCGAGAACTTTAGGTCTGCTGACCAACTTGTGACCAACCCGAAAGGTGAAGTGCTGGCAACACTCAAACGAGAACTTTAGATCAGAAAATATAAGGTCATTCATTCGATCGAATGCCTCTCGCTCTCTCGGTTCCTTTGAATTAGGACCAACATAGAAAACAATAGTAGAATGTGACTTGTCAAGAGTCGTTAGCTTATCCTTGATCTCAGAATATCTGGGTTAATCTGTGAAGGATGGCTTCGGGTTCGGTTGTATCGCC